TTCCACCCTTTTTATTAAATGGGTTACGGTAGAGGTTCGCCGCCATTTTTACACACGACGATTATTAATCTGTAATTTGTAGTTAGGATCCCAGAGACGACGTTCGATACAGTTCGGATGGATTAACTTTTTTTTTAATTTTATTTCATAATTTTGATTTTTTTTTTTTTCAATTTGAAATTTCCTACTCTTCGCCTTACCCCCACACCCTTCCTCCTCTCCTTCCCTCTCCGTTTTCCCTCCCCCCGTTTTACCCCTTTCTCCCTCCGCCTAAACGAAATCTATAATTAAACACTGAATTCCTCCTCTTCCATTTTTTTTTCATTTTTTTTTTTTCGTACGCCTTTTCTACATTATTATTTCTACATTATTATTATTATTATTATTATTAGTTTCATTTTCCTTTTTAAGCACGCACGCACGCACACGCACGCACTCAATTAAGACCTTAATTGAAACAATAATAAATTTTAAACAATAAAATAAATTCTCGCTTTCAATTAAAAAAAAAAAAAAAAAAAAAAAAAAACGAAATTGAACGTAATTTTTTTTTTTTCATTTTTTTCTTTTACGGTCAGGGTGGTCTTTAACTATAGTAAATAATTGAAGTTTATTAAATTTGGGGGCCGGGAGGGGGAAGAGGAAGGGCGAGGGGAAACGAAGATTTTTTTTTTTTTTTTTAAACGATATAAATTGAGAAAACGTTTCCTGGATGTGTAAAATGATAAGAAAGTGAGTGAGAGAGAGAGGAAAAGGTAGAAACGAGATCGTGGCGTTAGACGTGGCGAGGACGACGACGACGGCCATTTTTCACCTTTTTAATTAATTATTATTATTATTATTATTATTATTATTTCGGTTTTTTTTTTTCGAACTGAAAACGTCATCGATTTTTCTCCTTCCGTTTGTCTACTTTTTTTTTTATTATCACAATCATCATCATTATTTCGGGCGTCGATATGCGAATGTGTGTGTGTGTGTGTGTGTGTGTGCGTGGAAACAGACGGACAATATGGATTTTACAAAAAAATTTTTTTTTTTTTTTTTTTTTCCCCCTTTGTTGTTGTTATTATTATTATTATTTGACCTTGGAAACAAGGTCATAGTGGGGCGCGCTATCATGAAACTTTGTACCGTTTTAAGTGATACGACGTGAAATTTTTTCTTTTCTTATATTATATCGTAAAAAAAAAAAAAATAAAATAAAAATAAAACTTTTGTTCCGTCCATTTTTGTTTTCTTTTTTTCTTTTCGCCAAATTAATTTATTATTATTATTATTATTATTATCATCATTATCATTATTATTATTTTGGTTTGCCTGAAAATCGTATTGTTGTGAATCGTAAAGTTTTTTTTTTTTTTTTTTTTTTTTTATTCAAGCATGGTTGCCAATGCGATGAATTCACTCGACTCGAAAGTATCATTACACGTACACGACAATGTGTGTGTGCGTGCGCGCGATTTTTCCTTCGGTACTTCCGGTTTCTCGGATTTTGTTCTTTTCAGAAAAATGTTTTTTTTTTTCCTACTCTTATGCTCAAGATCGCGAAAAAATAATAATAAGGGGAGAATCCGCTTAAGAAGCAACTTAGTCGTTATTAATATTAATATGGTCACTCTTAACATTTATTATTGTTATTGTTATCATTATTATTATTATTATTATTATTTTCTTACGGTGTGGTCCAATTGCGATTTTTTTTTTCCAAAACGGTTTCGGACGGTTATTTGGAATTCGATTGGGTAATAAAAAAAAAATTCTCATTAGAAATTTGGTGGTTGTTGCGTAATAACAAACAAAACAAACTTTTTCTTTTTTTTTTTTTTTGGTTGTTGCCTTTTTCGGTGGATTCGTTGAGAAAATACGCGGTTGGAAAGGGGGGGGGCGGAGCAGATATTTCACAAATAAAAATCCCCATTTCATTCATGAACTTTTGGCAATGTTTTTGTTTTTGTTGTTGTTGTTGTTGTCGTCGTTATCAACGAGTGACCCAGAGTAAAACAAACAAACAAAAAAGAAACAATCGGAAATTGTGTTATTAGTTCAATAATTGATTTAATTAATGAGTTTTTTGTTTTTTTTCTTCTGCTGCCACCGCCACCGCCGACAGTGGCGGCATCACCACCGCGGATCCCTCCTAATTTACGAATTTCTCCTATTTTTTGTTTTTGTTTTTTCAACTCGTTTGTGTTCCCTTTTTTTCTTTATATCTGTGGAAAAGTTTTAATTAGAAAATTTTAAAATTGGGAGAGAGAGAGAGAGAGAGAGAGAGAAAAAAAGGAAAAAGAGGTCACTCATTAATTACGTAAAGAATTTTTCTAATATGGCGTCCGTTTTGAAAGTTTGTGATGGACTCTATCAGTAACGGGAAATCGTTCATTAAAAGGGTTTTCATAAATAAAGGTCGATGTTGCGGTCATGTAACATGCAAGATAGTAACTTATTTATGAATTAATTTTTTTTTCTTTTATTATTATTATTATCATTATTATTTTTATTATTATTTAACATCCTTAATTTTTTATTTATTTAATAATATCGAAATTCATTATTTAATAAATACGGCTCGGAGGTTATTTGAAATTTAATTTAATTTTTTTATTTCATTTAATGATAATAACGATCGTAATAATAATAATAATGATGATAATAATGATGATGATTTCCTGAACGACGCGAATTCATCATCATCATATTGGATTTTTCCGAATTTTCCGATTTTAACGTCGTAATTAAAAAAAAAAAAAAAAAAAAATGAGACGACGCCTTAAATTTTTCGGTTATGCTATTTAAACGTGAACGTGTCTTTAGATTTTAGGCTTTTGGGGATTTTCCCACACGCAACATCCCGATGAGAAAACAAAAAATTGGTATATTTATTAAACGTAATAATTCTCGGATCGGAACGAATGAATGAATGAATGGTTTCGTTCGATTTTAAAAAATGCCGCGAAAATTTTGAGCAGCCGAAAGCGTTTTCCGCGGTTTGTTTTGCATACGGAGCCACGTTTAAAACCGCGTAAAACTTGTTACGTAAGGTGGGGGGGGATGGTATAACAAAGAGTGGGCGTTTTATTAAACGTTTTCAAGTGATGTGGATTATTATTATTATTATTATTATTATTATTATTATTATTATTAATATTATTATTGTGGTTGTTGTTGTTGTTGTTGTTATTATATTCCATCTTCTTCTTCTTCTTCTTCTTCTTCTTCTTCTTCCTCGTCTTCTTAAACTCTCGTATCAAGTTTCATGGGTTTAAAAAAGTAAACGCGTATAACAAAATTTTTGTTTTGTTTTCTTCTTTGTTTTTTTCATTGTTATTTTTTCCGATGGATAATTCTACACGGATGCATACACACGCGCACACACACACACACATACACAGACACAAAAAAAAAATTGGGCGGATACTTTTACTCCAGGCTATTATCCGACCCGAAAATTTTGTTTATGAAAAAAAATAAATAAATAAATAAATAGTTTATCGTGTTTATTCGATTGAGAAAACAAAACGAAAACAAAAACGAATAATTTGAAATAAATTGTCAAAGGGATTTGTTTATTATTATTATTATTATTATTATTATTATCATGAGCATTTTTAAATGTTTACATATAAACGGCGTTATTCGTATGTTGGGCAGGAGGTATTAAATGTGGTAGTTAAAAAATTAATAACGAACGATTCGGTTCACGAACGCATACCTCCTCTACTTTATTATTATTATTATAAATAATAGAAACATACAACATAGAAACAACAACACGTTTTTCATATATAATGAGGATAATAATTATTATTATTATTAATTATTATTATAATGAATTAATCGATTCTGTTAAATTTATTTAATTTTTTTTTTTTTTTTTTTTTTAAATCATTGGATTCACACGCACACGCGCACACGTATGCACGCACGCACACCCACACACACAAACACACGTCAATCGTATATTTAAAAAACAAAAGAAAGAATAATAATAATAATAATAATAGTACTCGAATTAAAAAAAAAAAAATGGAATAACGACTTTTCGTTCATTATAGTTTTTTTCTTTTTCTTTTTTTTGTTTCTTTTCTTTCTGGTTTTTTTTTCTTCCCCTCTCTTCCCCTCCCCTTCCCCTTCTCTCCCCGGTTAAACGTTTAAAGGGACCAACGCCCATTTTATTTTAATAAATGGCAGGAAGAATAAAGAAGAGAAAGGGAGAGCGAGAGTGAGAGTGAGAGAGAGAGAGATAATAAAGAAAAGTAATTTATTAATGAATTTTTTTTATTTTTATTTTTTTCCGTGCTCGCGTGCGTTTGTCGTGTTGTGTTGGTAAACCTGATGACGAATCTTTCGATATTGGGCGTAATGGTGAATTTTTGGGGAAAAGTTTTACGACCTTTTCCCGTCCCGTTTGTTTTAAGTATTAGTTCGTGTTATGCTATAGTTAATTTTGTTTTTTCTGTCGAATACGATTTTCCGGATTTATTTGTAGCGACGATGACGTCACACACACACACAATCGTGACACGTAGTTTTAAATTTTCTTCGCTCGCGTTAAAAAAATGGATAGGAAGACATAGATTTGTGACGAACAGGAAATGGCTCTCGCATGTATAAAGTTGAGGTCATTGTTCGACCACAGCCACCACACCACCATCTACAGCTACGTCTCTCTCTCTCTCTCTCTCTCTCTCTTTAAGGATTATTTCAAGAGGATTTTCTTATCTTTAAATTGTAATGTGACCCTGTACGATTTGGGTCATTAAGCAGTAATTACCGTTGCGTAATGGAGAAATGGTTTTTTCTTTTTATTATTATTATATTATTAAAAAGATGATAAGAATATTATTTTGCTGGCGTCGAAATGAAAGCTTATTAAGATAGCTAGAAGAGTTGAAAGCTTGAAGGAAAACAGGAAAAGAAGAAGAAATACAAAATGAAATAAAAAATGGGGATCGAGAAACCGCCATCAGACGGCGTCGGCGGCAATGTGATTTATAAAAATGAAAGGAAGACGAAGGAAAAGGGTTTTAGGTATTAAATAATAAATTGAAATCGTACACGTGTACACGTGCACACACTCACTCACAAGAGCCGGATGTGCGGAGACGAGGATTCCGACTCTTAATAAAGTGTTAAACGGGATGAACGGTTTATGTAATCAATGCAAATTTGTCGGTTGAAAACCCGCATGTGGTGTTATTTAAAAAATGACTTGAACTGTTCCATCACGCCCTTCTACCCCCCACCCCACCCCCATTCAAAAATTTTAATTTCGGGATGAATTTGTCACGTGCGAAAAAGGAAAAAAAGATTTTTATTTATTTTAAGTTTGCTTATCCTTTTTCTTTCTCTCTCTCTCTCTCTCTTTTTAGACGACGATCAAAGTCTATGCGAAATGTCTACGATCGGACATAGAATACAAAACGTTGGGGATAACTTATCAGACGACATGTCGGGAAGTTGTTTCATCTCTTCTCAACAAATACAGGATGAGACACCGGGATCCGAACCTGTTTTACCTGACGATGGAAGTAACGGTGAGAAAAGCTGGACTGAAAACGGTTTTGGCTCTTGACGAAGAAGCTAGACCCGCTGCCCTGCAATCGTGTCATCCGAAAGGAGATTCGAAATTTTCGTTGCAAATGAGGAGAGGGGGACTCGTTAAAATATACGACAGCGTTTTAATGCCCAACGTAAGTTTTATTTGTCTTCTGCTTTTATTTTTATCATTTGTGTTTGTGTATTTCCTAAGTTTTTTGGTTTTTTTTTTGTTACAGTCTCACTACAAGAGTCTTTTAATTGCCGAACGCACGACCGTGGATGAATTAATAGCCATTTTATTAAAATGCTACAATTCTCAGGAGAGAGTCGAACAATTTTCACTCTACGAAGTTTGCGAAGATCAAGAATATCAAAGGAAATTACATCCGGATGATTGTCCCCTACAAGTTCAACACACGTGGTTAAGAGATCTCAATTTTCATTTTCTGGTCAAAAGAAATGCCGACTACAGGCGTTCAAAGGTAAAAAACCAAACAAACTAATTAGTGACACGTCCAATAACCGTTAAAAAAAGATCGGGGTTTTAGAGAAATTCTACCGACAAATGTCGTCGTCGTGGTGGTACTGATACCTCTTTAACGTTGCGACAAACAAAAATGAGCGTCACAGCAATTTATCAGGTCGTATCACGAAAACAATTAATCGATTGTTGTCTTTTTTATCAGGAGAGCAACCAATGGTTGAAGTAGGTTTTTCTCGCGTTGTTTACCGCGTAACGTTTTATCTATGTACATAATACATAATACATAATACCGTTTCAAATAAATAAATAAATAAACGGTGATAAGATAATAATAATGAAAAGGGGAGAGACAACGTTTTTTTTTAACAAAAAAAATTTTTTTTTCTTAACAGAATTCGTGGTCTTCGTCGGAACCATCAAATTTACCATCATCATCATCATCATCATCATCGTCATGTACGAGAAACGAGGCAAGATCATCATTATCATCATCGTCGAGCGTTTGTTCGAGTAGGAGTTCGAGTTCTGGAGAAGAAAGGACGACGTCCATGAGATACAGTTGTTATTCGGAATACGACAATTATTTTTACATATAAGAAGAAATACATCCAGACCGGAAGTAAGTAAAATATGAATGATAATGATAATGATAATATTTTTTTTTTCTTTAAATTCTGTCGAGGGGGGTTTCCTTTTCAAATTTTTTTATATCTTTTATTTTTTTTTTTTATCTACCTCTTTTACTTCTCTTCTTCCTCCTCCTGATCCTTCTGCTGCTGCTGACACTTTTATTTATTTATTTATTATCTTGGCGAGGTTTGTTGTTTACTCTGTCTTTATCATCATCATCATCATCATCATTTTTTTTTCTCGAACGTTTACGATTCTTTTGTCCGTTGAAATTTTATTCTCTCTCGTTTTTTTTTTTTTTTTTTTTCATCGACGTATTTTTATCTTCTTTTAGTAGTTTAAATTCCAGGTTTTAAATTACTGGATTATATAAATATCATTTAAAGAATTTTTTTTTGTGAAGGGAAGGAGGGAGAGAGGGAGGGAGGAAAGGAGAAGGGGAAAAGAAAGAAAGGAAGACGATGAAAACGTCTGAAATGGCTAAACTCTCTGTAAAAATTTTCCATTCGCAATTTCAACGAATAATTTTTTTTTTTTTTTAATTTTCAGGTTCTTCGAAACGTTTTGGTAGCTTGCGTAACGTTGGTAGCCCTGTCAATTAAAATAGGAAGAAGATGATGATGATGATGACCGAAGCAATTTTTTTTAAAAATCAATTAGAAACTCGATGATATGATAGATATGAAGATTTTCAATATGTTTATTAGTCGATTCGATCTTTTATCGATTTTTTTGTTTAAATTATCGTCGTATCACGTGGTTGACGTCATATCACAGGTCGTTTATCACTCTCGTTTTCTAAACCTTCAAGTATTAGTTAGTTTCGTTCGAAAATTTTACCACACTCTAAAGATTTTTTTTTTTCCTTGGTCTTATTCATTATTATTATTATTATTACTATTATTATTATCGCGCGTAATATTTCACATTCCATTATAAAATATTATGGACATCCATCCATCCATTAGGAGAGAGTAATAAAAAAAAAAAAAAAAATCATTGACGTAAATTGGTTGGAAGTTGTAATTTAGTCATTAGTTTATCGATTTGAAAGTATATTAAAAGAGTGGATAAATAACAACAACAACAACAACAACTGTCTTGTCTTCTGCTTACAGACGATGTTAATGTTTGATTGGTTAAATCGTTTGTTTGTTTGTTTGTTTGTTTGTCGATTCAAAGATTAAGATTACGTTTACGTTTTTTTTTTCGTATTTTGATTTTAATCGAAGAAAGTTTGTTGAGTTTTTTTTTTTTGCGTGCGTAATAATAATAATAATAATAACCGTTAGTGTCGGTTAATTAAAAAAAATTTTTTTTTTTTTTTTTTGATTTCGAAGTGGAAGAAGAAGAAGAATATGCGTTGATTGAATGGTTTGTGTTTTATTATTATTATTATTATTATTATTATTATTGTAAATGCAAGAGAGTCCAATCGACTATTACTTTTTTTTTCGTCTTTTTATAATGATTTCGATAAAATTTTCCTATCGTTCTCTCTAGTGCCACGATATGTTTTTTTTTTTTTTTAAAAGGGATCGCAAGCGAATCCGTTGGGATTTATTTAAATCGTTATGGTTTCTTTTTTTTGTTCACATCCGTTTCCGGAAAGTTAAAAGACGACAGAGTGCGTCCGTAATTAATTTCAAACGGAATTAATTTCCCGCCAAAAAAAAAAAAAAAATTTTTTTTTTGTATTATTGATGAAACACGTTTGAAAATTTTTTTTTTATTATTATCCATAACCTTTTATTGTAACGGTTCGACCAATCGAAATTCCATTTCGTAGCTCGTCATTATTATTATCATTATTATTATTATTAATCACCATTGTTTGCAGCCGGAGTAGGATTCGATTTATTTACTTATTTATCGGATTTAAAAAAACCGCGTGAATAATAAAAATCGATAAATCGATCGATCGATCGATGGATCGTTGGAAATCGACTCGGAATCTCTTGTTTATGAAAAAATCTCAATCGATTTTTTTTTTTTTTGGAACTTTAAACGTGGCAGCTTTTAGTTAAGTGTTTGTTTGTTTGTTTGTTTGTTTGTTTTTTTTCTTTCATTTTTGCGACAAAATTCGCAAACGATGTCAGAGCGGCGACGACGACGACGACAGAAATTTGTCGTCGTCGTTTTAATTTAAATTTTTTTGTACATTTATGTTTTATAATTATCATTATTATTATTATTATTATTTATGATTTTAATTTTTTTTTTTTTGTACAAAGTTAGAGTAAGATTTGAAATTTTTGTAAAAAAAAAAAAAAAAAAAAGAAAAAATTAATAATATATATATATAAATATAAATATAAATACGTACGTATTATTATCATTATTATTATTATTATTATATTTGTTATATTATACTGCCAAAGTTATTAAATGGAGGATTTTGCTTTAAGCCGTAGTTTTTTAGTTAGCAGTTGAAAAAAAAAAAAAATTATGAGTGTAATTTATTATTATTATTATTATTAGTAACACTGATAATTTGAAATTTGTTCGGCCGGATTTTTTCTCTTTTTTTTTTGTATTTAAAGACTCATGATAATAATTATAATGATAATGATAATTAAAAGAAAGAAAAATTGTAATAAAATAGTTTTAAGTTACCTTTTAATCTTTAATTTAAAATTGTAATATGATAACGAAGATGATGATGATGATAAGGTCAAAGACTCCTCAACATTTAATTAAAATTTCAAAGAGAAATTGTCTTTTTTATGCTGTCGGGAGGTTGGAGGGAGGGAGAGCGAGGGGGGTTGCGGAGGCCATCGAGAGTTTGATGAAGGAAAAGAAAATTTTATCAAAATTTTCTTTTTTTTTGTGAGTGATTGTAGGAGTTGTTGTTGTGGTTCGTTGTCATCATTGTTATCATCCGGGTTTTATTTTATTTTTCGAAAACGACGGTTATAATAATAATAATAATAATATAATTGAAATAATTCACATTTAATATGAGTATATTTAATAATTATATTTATAATAATAATAATAAAAGTAATGTATATGCATTCATCCAAAGATTAAGTTTTATTGTTATTATTATTATAACGAATAATTTTTTTTATTTACTGGATTTGTTACTACTACTACTACTACTACTACTTGATTATTATTAATATTATTATCATCATTCTTTTTTTTTATCTAGTCTGATAATTTTTTGTAAATAAATAAATTAAAAATTATTATATTATTATTAATGTTTGGAATAAAAAAAAAAAAAGCAATTTTTTTTTTTTTGCATATGCTCGCATGTGATTTAACTGTTTGTTTGTTTGTTTGTTGATGTATTAAAAAAAAAAAAAAAAAAAATTTAAATTGCCAAAGAATAAATAATTTTTTTCTGTTGCAAATTTTTTTTTTTTAAAATAATAATTATCATTATTATTATTATTATTAATTTTAATTGTAATTATTCACGTTTGTGTTTTTTTAATGCAAAATTAATAAATAAATAAAAATAATTAATTTTATTAAAAAAATTTATTGAATTTTTTTTTGGACTCGTTTTACTTTAACAAAAAAAAAAAGGTAAAATTATAATTTTAGGCGGGAATCCACTGTTTGAATTTTTTCACTCTAAACCTCCTTTGATCTTATGTTTGCTTGATACATTTAATCAAATTTTTTCAAATTTTTAGTGTAAAATTTTGAATTTTTAGGCGGGAATCCACTGTTTGAATTTTTTCACTCTAAACCTCCTTTGATCTTATGTTTGCTTGATACATTTAATCAAATTTTTTCAAATTTTTAGTGTAAAATTTTGAATTTTTAGGCGGGAATCCACTGTTTGAATTTTTTCACTCTAAACCTCCTTTGATCTTATGATTGCTTGATACATTTAATCAAATTTTTTCAAATTTTTATTGTAAAATTTTGAATTTTTAGGCGGGAATCCACTGTTTGAATTTTTTTCACTCTTTACCTTCATTGATCTTATGCTGGATCGGGATTTTTTTTTAATTTTTAAATTAATTGAGGAAAAAATAAATACGTAAATATACAATAATAAATATTTATATTTAATTTATCATATACATAATAATAATAATAATAGTAATAATTTAAAACTGAACATTTTGGTACAATTACGTAACACTTTTTTTTTTATACACGCACACACACAAATTCCATTGATTGTCTTTCCATTTTTAAAATTTTCCATCTCGATAATAATAATAATAATAATAATAATCATTTCTTTTCGTTATTATCATCATCATTATCAATTGCGATGATAAAATTTCGTTTTGTTTCATTTCACGCACTTTTTACGGCGAATTTTTTTTTTTAGCGCTGGAACTGGAAAAATTTTAAATGGAAATTTTCAAAAAAAAAAAAAAAAAAGAAACTTTTAATTAACACGCACACGCAATAGAACATATTTTTAACACACCAACGATTTTTCTTTCTTCATCTTTCTTCCTTCCCCCCCCCCCTTTACGAAATAATCATAAAAATATACCTTATTATTATTATTATTATTATCATTATGTATTAATTATTAATTATTATATTTATAAAGAGAAACAGAAAAAAGAGAGAGAGAGAAAATACGAGATTCTAAATTCACAGGAAAAATAATAATAATTAAATAAATAATAATAATAATAATAATAATAAAAGTTCACAATATTTACATCACGTTGAAAATGTGAAAATATTTTTATTTAAAATAAAAAATGAGCAGAAAGAAATGATTATAAATATTATTAAAAAATTAGTTTTAATTTTTATATAACTTTCGGATCCGTTTCTTTTAACCGACATGCTGAGATCTCTGAGTTCGACTTCTGTAAAAAAAAAAAAAATTCATTAATTAATACGACGAGGGGAAAAGGGCCAATGAGCCCAATCCTGCTCCCTCCCGGAAGGGGGCGCAGAAGACGTGCAGGCCGGGGGTGAAAAGCCGAAGTCATCGTCGGGTGCCTCTTCGGGGAAGAAGATCAAACCGCCG